CACCTGTAATCCTTCCTACTCAGGAGGCTGAAATCTGAGGATCATGGTTCAAAGCCAGCCCAGGCAGGAAAGTCCGTGAAACTCTTATCTCCAATAAACCACTCAGAAAAGTGGAAGTGGCACTGTGGCTCAAGTGGTAGAGCGCTACCCTTGAGTTGAAGAGCTGAGGGACAGCACCCAGGCCTAGAGTTCAAACCCCATACCCAACAACAAAAATAAAAAGAAAGAGGGTGAGAGCAAAAAAAGGGAGAGGAGAGGGAGAGAGAGAATAGGAAGAAGGGAAGGAGAGAAAATGAAAGAAGAAACAAAACTTGAATGCTGCCCTTAAGTCCTACTTCTGTCTCACTCGCCACACTCATCATCACGCATTCTAGGAATTCTCGAGTGGTGGAATTTGTTCATCTAATTCCTCTGAACAATCTGCCTCATCTCTCTCTTATTCTAACCTAGCTCTCCAACAAATCTCATGAAACTTGCTTCCTCCAATCTGTTATCATACTAACCAAGATGATCGTTAAGCCAAATGAGAATGTAGTTATAATCAATAATATCTTCCTACCACTGTTAACTTACTTACTCTCTTTTTTTGTTGTTGTTTTTATGGGTCCGGTCTTGGGGCCTGAACTCTGGCCTGGGCGCTGTCCCTCAGCTCTTAAGCTCAAGGCTAGCGCTCTACCACTTGAGCCACAGCGCCACTTCTGGCTTTTTTTCTTTTTGCTTATGTGGTGCTGAGGAATCGAACCCAGGGCCTCAGGCATGCGAGGCAAGTCGCTCTACCACTGAGCCACCTTCCCAGCCCAAGTTACTTCCTCTCTTGAGCCCATGCCTGCTTTCCATGTCATGTGACTATGATAGTCAGAGCACTCAGCATCACGGTGTCAACCTCCTACTCAGCATCCCTTGGCCCCTTCCTGGAGTCCTTATCTTACCTCTTCTGTTCTGCATTCATCAGTCCAATCCTAATCCCACAACTTTGCAGATAGTCAGCATGTGCATGTGTGAGCATATGTTCATTTAGGGAACAGATTGATGAGGAGTGAATTAAGAGGATGATGGTTTCCTTCCAAACTACAATAAACGTGTTGGAGGATGTCAACCTCATAACAAAGCACCTGTGATATATGACTGGAAGTAGGCAGGGAGGGGTTGGGTGACTTCCCCATGATGTACATCTTTTAACTTTATCCATTTCTCCACTTTCTGAAATTATTTCCCTTCTTTTATTCTCTTTGTTTTCTATGATCCTCTCTTGCATTTCAGTTTCCCACTATACAGCATAATATCAAACCAAACCCAGGTCATTTTCAACTTCTATTAGGCATAACTGTAGGCAGGTATTCAAGAGTTTATAGGAAGCCAACAAAACTATCTTCATATGTGTGTGTGTGTGTGTGTGTGTGTGTGTGTGTGTGTGTGTGTACGGTGTATATGGAGAGAGAGAAAAATATATATGGAGGGAGAAAGATTTGGATGTCACACACCTCATTCAAAGTCTTTGACAGTTCTGATTTAAACAAAAAACGTGGTATTAACATGTATAAAGTCCTTGTTGGACTCTAAAAAAGAAACTCATACACTTGTGGGTTTGGAGATTTCCCCATGTCAGCCTCAAATATTATGCCATTAATAACTGTTTTCCAACATATATCACTGCTCTACATGTAAAGTCACATCAGTCAACCTGCTTATAACTTTCAGGGTTAGAAAGAAACAGTTACATTTGATTGTTATTCTTCAGATAGATATTAGCATTTAGAGATGTTTGATGTTATAGATTCCATCCTTTTTCTGACCCTTAAAATCATACCATAGCTAAATGTTCACACTTGTCCTTTTTAGTTTTAAAAGAAATGTCATATACTAGATTTCTGGAAATGACCCTCATTCAGATGTGAACCAAACATAATAGCTTCTGCCACTCACCCAGCAATGAATTGCTGTAAATGTAGGACACAGGGCAGAGGACTTGGTAAATTACTTCGTTTCATTGGCCGTCATCAGAACCTGTGGCATAATACGTGACCTATTTCTATAAACAATAATGCCTGAGGCTTTACAGACAGGTGGAATGTAGTTCTTCTTTTAATTACATTTAGAAGAAATTTAAAATACAAAATTTTAATACATATTGAATAATAATTATATTTTTAAAAAGAAATCCAAATCTGTGACCATCACCCTGCTGAGTTATGGTATTTAGTACAATTGCTTAAACTTAGATTTTACTAAAAATATTCAAACCTACAGAAAAAATAAGAATAATGTAATAATTCTGTATTCTCCTATCTTTGCTAATTGTTGGCTTCCCCCCACCCCCGTCACCAAATATGATTCAACATCTTCAGCTTTACATGATTCAATGTGATATTTACACACATACACAAACATCAAGAAAGGACGTAACTGGGCAAAAATGTATGTGTAATTTTTACCTAAATTTTAAATGGGAGAAAGAAAAGTTAAAATATCTTATTGAATGAATCATTCTGTGTATACATAAAGAATATTTTTCCCTCTCTTTCATCAAGTTCACTAATACAACATTAGTTAATGTAATTGGAACCGTTATATCTTTTTTCTCAGAAATTTACCACCTTGTTAGTATCTTTAATTTTCTGAAGAGAATCAGAAAATTTGAAGTTCATAAAAATCCTTTCAAAAATATATCCTTACATCCAAAAGGACTAAGTAATTTACTTTTTGGATATGTGTTATATTGCCTGACAATATCATCAAACATGTATAATTATCTATATTCAATTTGTTTTTATATTTTATATCCAACCATACAGTATTTCCTCCTTGTCTGTAAACTGGTTTTATAGAGCTGTAAAATATGCTGAAAACTAATAAAGGCTGGTAATTTGACCCATAATACCTGATCAGGAAGATTTTCTTTGGAAAATGCCACCCAAAATGGCAAGAAAAAAGAAACTTTAAGTATAAAACTAAAATGCAATTAATCTTTGTACAGCTTCCCATATTCCAATGTGCTACTTTGTTCTCTGCCAAAACATTTGTCAGCTGTCCTGTATATGGAAGTTTTATGTTTCCATATTATTTTTCACATAATAAGAGAGAGAAGCACAAAAAAGACAGACATTTTTCTGGGCAAAAGGAACAGAAGCCAGCAGAAACAGGACTGTGATTCCTAATTAATTCAAAGTTAATTGCATTGTTGATAATCCTGCACTTAAAATCTTCATATAGAAAATGTTTATGGCAGCAAATTGACAGTAATTTAACTACATTAAATCTTACCACCATTAAAAGAAAGGGATGAATGTTACATTAAACAAGCTTAAGAGAATGATAAAGTCTAGTTCTTGTTTAACATTCGAACTAGTTAAATCATTCAAATGACTGACCTGGAATTTCAAAGCACAGCAAAAACAATGGGTGCATTTCAAGGTATTATGGACCAGGTTGGGGATGTAACTCAGTGGTAGAGTGGTTGCCAAACATATGTAAAGCACTGGCTTTTATGTCTACTCTCCTCCCTAGCCAGTAGCATGTAATGAAAAAGAAAGAAAAGAATAGATTGTAAGATGGCACAAAACCATATGGCCAGTTTTCTATCACTGGTTCCTCTGAGCTGCAATTTTGATGTATTTCATTGTAATTAACACAAAATAGGTGAAAAATTAAAAAATGTAAGTTTTCAACTTGCAATTTAAGGTCAAAGAATCTGTTTTGCTATTTTAGAAAGAATGGAGATCGAGGTAGTTAAAAGACATTACTTGCATCTATTATGTACCCTGAGTCAGCATGGTAATTCTGCTTCTGTTCTGCTTAATCAGGAAGATGAATTTTACTTAATGAGTGTATTCATATAAAAAGAATTCAGTTAAAGATAACAGCAGAGGTGAATGCTATTACACTGGGTAGTCTAGTCAATCCTGGAATCCAGATTAGAACAAAACCAAATGATTCTGACCACTGAAATAAGATTCTTTACACGCCTTCCCTTTGAATGCAGAGAATGACAGGCTTGGGGGATACCGAAAGATCTTGATAACTCAGGCATGTTTCACTACCATGTTGACACTGATACAAGAGGATCTTGGTCTAGCCTATGCACCATGATCAGAAACTTATGGTTAAATTGGTTCCAAGTACATATAATAAGCCAGATTGTGCCAAGCCACAGATAAATATGCTATTTTCCTAGGGTTTTACACAATTACTGGAATCTTAATCAAATAATATCTGCAAAAAGGAATGGGAAAGGACTGGGAAGGTGGCTCAGTGGTAGAGTGCTTGCCTTGCATGCATGAGGCCCTGGATTCCTCAGCACCACATAAGCAGTAATAGCCGAGTTGGCGCTGTGGCTCAAGTGGTAGAGTGCTAGCCTTGAGCTGAAGAGCTGAGGGACAGCACCCAGGCCCAGAGTTCAGGCCCCATGACCAGAAATAAAAAGGAATATAAGCTGAGTAAATAGCAAATAAATAGAAAACAGTAAATAGGTACATTAGAATAAATGCCAGTGGATTAGGCACTTATAGTTATCTAATTGAGTCCTTAATGGAAGTATTAGCCTTATTAGGGTCCATAAAACACAGGTAAACGTCACTTAGTAATTTCAAAGGATTAGAATTTCTACAACAGTGACAGGGCATCAAAACCAAATTATGAAGGAAGAATGAATTCAAACTTAATTCTTTTCAGACAAATTTCTAATATTTGAATTAATAAGCAAACATCTCTGCTTTATATGGTCTATTATTTAGAAACCCAAAGTTAATATCAGTAGGCTTATAGGAAATAAGTGTGGAAAAGTACCGATTACTTTGTGTGGGTTATAATATTTAGTTGAGAAGGGTATTAAACAATTTCTGTTATCTTAATCAAATAATGTCTGAAAAAATAGGACCTGGGAATATGAGTTTAGTTAAAAGCAGTTGGTAAGAGAAACACAAAATGTCTTAAACACTTTAGAAGACAAATATAATTAAGATGTGGGAAAGCAAAAAACAGGTAATGGCTGATTTTGTTCTTAGGTCACACAATGACTCTCGGATATTAGATGTGTTTCAGCACACCCATAGCGAAGAAAACAAGTTCTTTATTCCATATGATTTGGAGATTTCTAATCAGGAGCTAAGTTACATAGTGAAAAGAGCTGAGCAGTGGAGAGGGATCAATGGTAAAAGAAGGAAGGTGAGTTAATGTCATGTTCTCTTGTCATTATTGCCTTATTATGATGATTATTATGATGAAGATTATGATTATTATTGGTGATACTGGGGCTTACCATTTGAGCCATGTAGTTTTAATGATAAAAGAAGATCCTGTTGACATGTCCATACTTATAAATATTTACTTAGATCGTTAAATTTAGAAACATGAATAAAGCTAACCGAGTGTTCACGAGGAGAAAGGAGAATGGAAAATGAAAAGATGGATAACTGTGTAACACATCACAAGTATATTATATAGGAAAGCAGCACAGCTCAACAAAATTTGATGATCAGTAGAGGGATGGAGTGGAAGAGAAATACTCTGTGAACAGATGGGAACTAGAGGAAGGGGTGTTTCTGTGGAGAGAATAAAGAAGATTAAACATTGTCAAAAGAGACTACTGACAACTATGAAAGTAGAGTAAGGAAACCTGTTAAAGATGATATTTCTTGGAGGGAAAGATGGAAGGGGTGACATTGAATACAGCATTAATGAATGTGGAGGCGTAACAACCATAACTGACAAGCCAAGAACAGAAATATATTTTGCTAGTACATTAGTGAGTTGTTAAATTTTTTATGTTGTTCTTTACAAAAAATTATTTGCTATTTTATTTGCCACCATTTTACCAATCTTTTAGTTTGATTGCATATTGTTTTTATTTAAGAGAAAATGAGATAAGATTAGATGGTTCTTATACTTCAGAATTCGGAGTTTTTTTAAGAGAGAAAGATTTGTATACCCGGGTGGTGTGTGTGTGTGTGTGTGTGCGTGCACATGCACATATGTGTGTGTATGTGCATGCCCACTATATGACAAACTAAAAGACTTGTAAATAACACCAGGGAAGTTAGTAACAGGGCATCTGCACATAAAGACGGTGTTGGCGGTCAAGTAACCCTGACTGACCAGGAGGAAGGAAATGCTTTTTACATTTGGAGATGGTTATGATTCACGCCTAACAGCAACCTTTGTTACCTCAATGCCTTCCAGGATGTGTACCTCATTCCCACTTTTGCTCTATGAGATATCCTCTTGCTGACTTCCTTTCAATGACCTTCTGCCATGTGGAACAGTCTCAAATGTGTATGTGGAAGCTACAACTCATTTCTGGGTGCCAGAGTAAGTAACCAGTAGCTCATTTGATGTCTTCAGATAAAGAAAGATATCCTCAAGTTAGCTAATAGCCCATAACAGTTCATAGAACACCTAGTGTGCATATGCTATTTAAACACATGTGTGTATCCTATATAAAAACACCATTTATACTTATGTTATCTTTGTATATAACTTTTTTACTTATTCGGTATCACAAACGGTTCAAACTAAGTGTTCCTAAACTTGTTTCTCTTTTATATTTACTTATCTATTATTTGATCATTCACTGCCTTTTCTTGTTTAATTCATTTGTTATAGCCTACATCTAGTCCCTTAATACTGAACAGGCAATCTACAATAGTACCAGTGGCTCACACCTGTAATTCTAGCTACTCAGGAGGCTGAAACCTGAGGATCATGGTTCAAAGCCACCCTAGGCAGGAAAGTCTGTAAGACTCTTATCACCACTGAACTACCAAAAAAGCCAGAAGAGGAGGTGTGACTCAAGTGGTTAAGTACTAGTCTTGAGCAAAAGAAGCTCAAGGACAGCTCCCAGACCCTAAGTTCAAGCTTCAGTACTTGCACATTTAAAAAAAAGCAATCCTTGGCCAATTTCTTGCTTTACCTTCAACCTTACCTTACAGTTTGCCCCACCTTCACAAGCCTGTAAATTCATTCTCCACTCCTGCCACAGTGAGATTTCTAACATGTCTGCCTTCTTTTGTACTTTCAGTAACTTTCTATTGCCTAGAAGAGGAAACGCAAAACTTCTTACTGCTATGCAATGGCTAGTTGCTGTAATTATTTCCTACATTTTCAAACTCATCTCTTATAGCCACATGCCTGCTGTATCATTCTGCCTTCATCTTTTCAAAAGTATGAACATGCAGTAGAACATATGGCAAACATGTCATATGTTTCAGTCTTGTATACTCCTCTATTATTCCTCATGTACATGTAATTAACATGTAACGTGTAACTAACATGTAACTAATATGTAACTCCACTATTATTCCTCATGTACATGTAACTAACTGAGTCCTCTGCAGGGGTTCAGTTTCTTTATGGATCCAATCTGATCAGGACCATTTCTTTTCTGTCAAAACAATTGAGTGTTAGCATCGCAAATATAATTTGAGAATTTCCTGGTCATGTTATCTTTCTGTTTTAGACTAAGCTCTTCTTTTGGAATCACAGTAACATCTCCATTTCTGTCTTCAATCTCTGACAGTCTCTAGAGGATAGTGTCTATTTTCCAGCTAGATGTACAATACATAAGCGTATACATACATGCATGAATATTTGAATAATTGCATATACTTAACTTGCCCATTGAATGAACATGCAATATGCCTCATCCTATTCCTTATCTGACAGAAACCTAAAATGCCAAATTTTTTAAAATTCCAGATGGTTTCACCATACTTAGTATGGCTCAAATTCTGTTTATTTGACACATAACAAATAGTACAACAGACATTTCCAGGATCACTGTCCTTGAACTGAAGCAAAAACAAGCTGGATTTTACTATATATTCATTCTGGGTTCTTTTTCAAACATCCTTGACTAACAGCAAAATTTTTAAAGTTCAAAATTACTGAAATTAATTAAGCAAAGAGCACTTCCTCTTCAAGATAATTTCACAGTGCCTCGGGTAGCTAGAGTAAGTTTCATTTCTGAATTAAGTTTCACAACATGGAAGTTTAGGAATTTGGAAGTAATCCAAAGTTAAGTACTAAAATGATTTGAACTGAACAACAATATCTTAAAAAAAGAGAAAAAGAAGCCATTTAGATATCCATTTGATCTATTTTAGCAAGAGAAGGAAGGATCAAGGGAGGAAGAGAGATAGAAAGAGAGGAAAGTAGTGGGGGAAAGGGAGAGAGGTCAGAGAATGTAATGTTTAGTCACTAGAAGGAAACTGAAAGTGACTAAAATTATTTAAGGTCTTACGTTTAATATGTACATTCTTTGTAAAATGATTTAGCTGATCTATGCTACATAGAAGTAGAATATAGGAGGAGACCTCAGACATTGTAACCCATTCAAATGGTTCAACAAAAAGATTCAGTTTCATGTAATTAAGCAATTCAATGGGCATGTATATATCTAGATAAACAGCTGTCATTGCCTGCAAAACGTACAGAGCCAGGCTCCATCAAAGGTAGAAGCTACAGAGATGCTAAAGAAAATCATTTGAACATCCATCAGCCACCTGTTGTTTCTTGCCATGAGGGTTATTTTATTAAGCATACACAGCACCCTCAAATTTAAATGTATATACACACACACACACACACACACACGTGCGCACACGCATTTCTTGTTATTTCTTCATGTCCTGAATATTTACCTCATGAAACCTACACTTATGATCAATTTTTGTATGCTATTCTGACATTCTTTGTTTAGTTTACTTTGTCAAGAAACTGAAGATGACTGGTTGAATAATTGATGGTCTATCCTCAATAGGTAGAGTTCCAGTTGAACTGAGACCAATCATCTATAATCTCAAATGGCAAAATGAGGAGTAGAATAGAGGTTTCAATGTACAAGACATCAAATAAGATGTCTAGAATTCTTCTGTTCTAAACGTTTAACCTAATTCTTTTCTGCCATATTGTTAAGCACAGGTTTCTCATTTTCATGATCTGAGATAAAATATTGCTTCACAAATGGATACCTTGAAATGTGTTTAATTTTCTCTTATTAAATTGATAAATGAAAAGGCATACAAGTATGATAAAAATTTAGAAATTATTGCATTTTTACAATTATTACATTATCACAATTTTTGTATTGTTCATACATATAATTTGTCATTTGTACATGGATAGCCAGATGATAATTTTGATGCATTTTCTCCATTTTTTGATAAGGAAAAAGGTCACTTTCAATAGTCAGAAAAGACATCATTCTATTAAACTAATTTCCCTACATGAAAATTTTGTCATTTTTACCTCATTAACTATTTATCATGGAGTAAAAAAATATATATATATTCATGAAGGGGCAGCTCACAGCCTGACAGAGCTGAAACTAATATTTTGCAACTCTAATGATTTTTTGCATCCTTAATTAGATAGCATAAGGTTGATATGATTAGGTCAGGATGTAGTGTTTTTCATTAAAATACATTTTAGAAGCTGTATTCATAATCTGCCCTTGCAATTAAATAATGAGTCTATGAATTTAATATTATCGACCCAATTATTATCCCATGCAAACGTATACCTTTAATAAATCTGTGCCGTAGGACCTTCATTAGCAAGAGAAAAAATGATATTTCTAGGTACATAGATTAAATGGCTGTGGCTATACTTATATAATGGTTTAAAATATATCAAGAAGTAAGACTTCAGTATCGAGGCATTTAATTGCAAAATGGGCCTCACTATTTGTTGAAGACTAATTTATATTGTAATCATTTTCTTAAAGAAACTACCAGTTTGAAATGGGTTATTGAAACTCATAAAAAATAGTTAAATATTAGGTGGAAATAGAGTGTTAGAGCCAGCTATGTATTAAGGAAGAATGGTACACAGGTTCAGAGATTCAGTCAAGAGCAAAACTGGAAAGTATAAAATCTTACAAGTCTATTTCTTTAGGGCCTAGATTAGCCACAGACAACCACATGCAACTAATGAGGATTATTCTTTTGCTGTTGTATATGCACAGTGTTTGATACCAGAAGGCTGTACAGTGGATGTGAGTACTCTGGGAACAATTTGGTTTTATTTATATCATGAATCTGCACAGGGCAACATAGATACAAAGAAACAAACTTTACATATACACAAAGAAACAAACCTAGTTTGCTCATCTGACAACTGACCGAACTACTCGTTTTATGCACTACAAGAGTGATAACAATGATTGT